CTCAACAGTATCACGATTACAGCAACCACAGCAAAAACAACACCAACACTACAACACATAAAGCCGCCCCTCGGTGGCGGTATTCCCAAACATCAGGCGCATCCTCCTCGAAGCACACTTCGCACGTGATCTCCCTAGCCATCTCAGAGACAATATCCTCAAGTACACTTTCCACTAGCTCACCCGCCACACCCTCCACAAACTCAACCACATCATCCACCACAACTTGTAAACCTCCGCAAGCTTCAAGCCCTCGACTTTCTACAATCGCCCCCTAGAGAACAGGAGCTGCTCGAACTATGGGCAGATCCCCTTCCAAAATCCTCACCCGGTACATATGCCGATGATCACGCTCATCAAGCTCCAAAGGTTCTGGCTTAGGTACTTTCAGGTTACCCTCGCCATCCAAACTCAAATGCCCTCGCCCAAAAAGGTAGTCTATCGTATCATCATCGTCGACTACCCCCAAAACTGACCTCGAACCAAAAATCAGCTGTTCCGACTGGCAATCCGTGAGGTCAGCATTCTGCCAAAACCTACATGAGTCCTGATCCTTCCTGTCATAAACACCCACCTTCACCCACCAAAATCGATCAAACATCAAAGACAGAAACTTGGACTTGGCATGTGCCCAAGACGCACCAGAGATAAAAACATCCTGATGATTCATCATCAAGGACAAAATATCCAACACCTCATGCGCAGGCCCCACAGGAACCTAAGCGATGAAGGCAAAAGTTAATCTTCCAACCAAAAATGCACCCCGCACAAGAGCACATTAACCGTATCCCCGTAGTCTTTCCAACATCTACGACGCACACACGTGTCAAACTTGCTCAGTAGTATCAACATCCATGGCCATCGCAGCTTGCGAACCATCTTGATGTTCACCTTCAACACCTCGGCTCCAACCATCACCGCCATGACCCACATCAACACCAGCTATGCTCGCTGAAGCCTCGCCCACAGTAGATAATGCGGGTCTCGCGCTTGTGGAAGAGGTGCCAGCATCGCCGGCTCCGGTTGCCATCGGCGAAGGGTCCCAAGGTTGATTCAGCTGACAAAACACGAAAACATAAGTCAAAATCACTTCAAAGTTACAATAAAAACCACAATGACATGAAACCAAATCCCTCACCTCCTGAGTGCCCACAATAGCCTCGCCAAAAGCAAGAGCTCGGCCTCCGCCTTCCATCCAGAATTTCTTTAGAAAACGCGCACATACATTTTTGCAAGCTCGATCCTCAGCAGCCCCTCGCACTTCCTCAACACTTGGAAAGTTATGGTTAATGCGATCCACCCTCTTAAGATGGTCGCAACAAGCAACTTGAAAAGACCGCGCCACAGCGAGGGTAGGGTCATAAGTACCAAAATCCAAAACACTATCTAGCAATGAAATCAGCTGGCCAACCTCCACCTTAAGCCACGCCGAAAACACCGCATGATTAGCATCTAGCAATTCTTCACACGGCTCTGAGCCAGCTTCAGCAAAAACAACAACCAAAGCAACCTTCGCTTCTCGCATAAAAGTGAGCAAGGCAGCAAGAGAGTCCTCCAGCTTCTGGCCATTCGTTTTTGCCAACTCCTCAGCCTTCTTACGAGAGTCCTCAGCCTCCTTCAACTTCTCGCCTTTGTCCTTCAGCTCCGTGCGAAAGTCAATGTTACGGTTTAATAGTCCTTGTGCCTCATCTACCATGCCCTTATTCTTCGTGATCGTGGCCTCCAGAGACTCAATTTGTGCCTTCCACTCCTTACTAGTAGTAGCTAACCCTTCCTTTGACTTCTGAAGCTTTTCAACCCGCTCAAGCAGCTTAGTTTCAACACATGGCACCGGCAAGCGGCTCGGGCGAGCATAATTGCCCTCACACCGATCACCTCCAAGCCCTTGGTCAAGTGATCGACCGACTCATTGCTCAACAGAAGCTCCACCTCGGGCATGCAAATCCGACGGTACACGCCAGCCATAAACCGGCGCTCCTCCCCAGTCCCAACCAAACGATAACCACGAAGGTCCAGGCTGGTAAACAACTCAGTATCAGGCTCGTTGGAGCCACAGGCAATAGCAAAATGCCTCAAACTACCGCGATCAGCATCGCTTAGAGGCCGCTTCACAACAAAACCCTCATACTTATCAGTAGGGACATCGCGACCCTCGCGCATGATATGAATGCGATGGCGATGAGGCATCGCAGTAGCATCCTCAGCACGAGAGACAACTTCTCGGTCTACTCCAGCCAAACCACCCTCTAATCCAAGCTCCGCCAAATCCACCGTGCGAGGGTTTCGAGAATCCTCTACATCTGCATCCTCATCTTCATCATCATCGTCACCTCCACTATCACCTGAATCGCTGCTCCCACTGGAGGAACCCGACCCACTACCCTTATGGTCTCCTGAGCCCTCGCCATTACCCTTCTCCTCATCATCCTCCTCACCCTCATCATCGGAAATCACTTGCAAAATAGGCAAGTCAGTGAGGGTTGGCACCTTCCAAGCCTAACGAGCTCCTCCAACCGCACTCGGCTTAAACACTGGCACAACCGCCGATTCTGGCTTCGCGGCCACGGTCGAAGAGGAAATAGATGAGGCGAGGACCTTCACTGCCGTAACTCTCGCAACCTTTAGTGTTCCAGTGTGCCCTTGACCGCGTCCACCTCGCCAGTACGCACCAGTAGGCTTACCACTCACCTCAGATCTCTTCCTCTTCTTGCTACCCTCAGCCTCTGAGAGCTCCGCCTGCGGCTAATCCGGATCTGTTAACCCAAGCAAATCGAAAGCCCAGTTAACAAGATGGCAGTCGGCCAGGGCAGCCCGTATCACTTTGATCTCGATGTTACCAAGAGCACCGACAAAGCTCCTTAGTCACCACCGCTACCTCCTTGTAGACAGCCTTGATCCCCGCCACCGAAGAACTGCTCTTCTAAAGTACCCTCGACCAAGCTTGCTTAACGTCGATACCAAGACCCTTCAGACCATGATCCTAGTACCTCTCATCATCCTTAACTCGAACCAGGACTGGTTAGCCCTCAGAGGTAGCACCTTCGAGCAGAGAAACTCCTCAACCAGGTCTCGAGCACATTGGTGACACGACAGAGCCCTGAGTGCATCCACAACAGCAATGCAACCATCGGTCATGATAGCCTCGAAGTAACATTATCGAAGCCTCGACAACTTCCCACAGAGGCTTGGTTTGCTCTCAAGTTTCATATAAAACCAGTTCTCAGTCCAAGACGAGGCCCACTTGTTCTTCTGCGCCTGAACCAAAACTTCCACCCCATGACGATAAACAAAAGTATAAACACCGTACTGCCCTAGAACAGTCTTCCCGTCGACAGTCATCTTGCGAGGCTGCGGATGAACCCGGTGGAGGCGTATGAAACCCTCAAGATCCGGCTCCATCCCTTGAGACTTGCAACCCTAAACGTAAATGTTAAGCTTCACAAAGCTAGAGGGATTTAACTGATGAAACTTCAGATTGAACCTCTTCAAGACCCCAACCACAAAGGGATGTGGCGGAAAACCTCAACCCCGCCACGAAGAATTCTTTGAAAACGACAACCTCGTCATCTTGAGGGTTAGGGACAACCTCTCCCTCCGACCGCCTCGCCAGCTTGCGGGGGAACCATCCCATCTTCGTGAACTCGTCCAACTCTTTCAAAGTGACCCTCGTAGGGCCAAACTCGAAGCTCACAGCCACATCTGCTGCAGAGTCAATGGCCTCGGAGTTGTCAATAGGCCTGGCTGTCTTCTTCACGCGAGCCATCACGCTACAAAATGAAAAACAAAAGAAAATCAACACTAGAAACATAAGGGAACGAGTCTTAAAATAACAAACAACTAGCACTCACCCAAGAGTCAAAAGGGAAGCGACTAAAAACCAAGCAAACAAAAAACCTTCGCCCAAGACGCCAACCTTCGCTCTAGTGCAACCCTTGCTCGACGGAAACAACGACAGCAACTGGCCAGCAAGCAAGAGACAAAACATCGAAAACCCTAAACCTAACACAAGTATTTATAGGCACCTAGCACCTGCACCAAAGGAAGGTGGGCGTCTCATATCCCGACAAAACAGGAACCAGGCGGGCGCCGCAAATCTCGAGAAAATAGGGAACAACCTTCGACAATCGCGTGTCACATCAAACCGTACACCAAGCCCAAAAACGCTAAAGCCCAGCATTGGTCGAGCACAATGGGGGCGTCGCTGGGCCAGGCCGCAGGCTAAGTACCCTCGCCTAGCCCCCCTCAAGTTTCAACGTTGCTCCGACCCATCATGCTGGGCCCGACCCTTGAGGGGCTACTGTTGGGGGGAAGCTTTCCTAGCACAACTCCTACCTCGGCACTCGACCCCCTGCTGGCCTGACTAACTAGCCTCGTTGCGGGTACTCATCCCGCGCACGAGGGTTTCTACTCATCATGTTCGATCCATGTGTTCAAGTGTCACACGTGAAGGCCCGCCTCACCGAGGGATTGCGGCAAGTGAAGCGCTGACCGGTGGCGATTAGCGAACCCTCATTTGGAACGCGCGAAGGTTCGACGCCTGCCACGGGAAGGAACCATTCTGGTGACGGCGGCGGCCCCATCGAGGTGATTAGGGCCCAGAGTGGTTGGCCAAGGGAAGGAGATTACCGCCGTACCCTTGGCCGTTGCACAATAATTGCCTCCCCAGATTTAACCTTAGTGTAATTTCACCGCGACCTCAGGTATGGTCTATAAATACTCGGAGCGCTCGTGTAAGAAGTTGGATCCATCTTTTCCGAACAATTTAATGGACATTTAATCCACATTTATTCTTTGTCTTGAGCTCGGATACCCTCGCTCTCTCCCTCGCGCCCGCTCGATCAACTCCCTCCCTGTGGGAAACCCTCGGCCTCTCCCTGCGTGATTCTCAGCGAGGGTGAGAGGTTAGGAGTGACCCCACACTTCGCTTCTCTGTTGCCTATGTAAGCCAGGTGGGGCGACTACAAGAATTTCAAATATGAGGCGCAGAAGCCTTCAGCTTATTATGCTAGTACAACATCACCATTATCTAGACCTTGTAAGGGCAGCTGCTGCTGTTGCCGCAATCTCATTTCGAAGTCCTCCAAATATTCTCTACCGTTGATCTCTGTCAACCTGTAAAAGCACAAGGCATAACAGAAGGCATCAGTTAAATATGAGCTTAACGGGTTGATTGTGAATTGTGAATTGTGATTCGACATGGCAGGCAGAGCACCAATCTGAAATCTATATACATTGGCAAACACACATTTCCAGTACCTGCTAATCGTACGATCCTTGGCAAATCCTAGCTCATTGTCCACACATAGGTCAGGACCGTCACTTTTCTGTGAGCGCGAAGATCTTGGTGAAACCTTCTGTGCTTCAGCAACAGTCACGATATTCTCAAATAGATCTATCGGTCCAGCCTCGGCTGTACATAACAACCTTTGCTTTGTTCTCATACATAACCTAAAAAATCATTCATTATTTGAAGATAAGTACATGTAGTAGGCTGCAATATGCAAAATCTATTGGTGGAGAGGGGAAATGCATTTTTGTTGTTTATACTCAAGTATAATTTTGAAGTATGACAGACTACTGCATGTAATGAGATCTAGTCTATGATAAAACCTCCTTATACCAACACTGAATGTTAGTTTTGAGGTGTCTTTAGTTGAAATATAGAAAAACAAAACATTGTCTGCTCATATTGAGGCCGAGACAAACTTAAACATAATAAAATGAGACATAACAAGGATCATACATCAATCAGTGTGACGAACCGATAAGCTGATGTTCTGTTACTAGACCCAAACTTTGGAACACCATCTGTAACACCCCAGGTGTTTGTCACCAGTTAAGCAATGGGTTTCAGCTCAAACATGACATGTCGAGTGGTAATGAAGGTGTCAAGATCAAATCTACATGATGGAGCTCCAACTTAAACTTGGGCCACGCACATTTGCTTACATATGGACCCTTGTTAAGATTATGCAAGAGTAATGTTAAACATGCTTATTCCATGTACATTACATCCACATGCATCCATCTAGACCCGTGGAAAAGTTTCATGAAGTTCGGAATCAAGAAGTCGCATGAAATGATGAGCTACATTCTTGCTTGAATTGCGCTAGTAAGTGAAGGGAATTATAGGCCGTCAACCAAACCTTGCAACCTTGCCCAAATGACTCTAATTGAACTCTACAACAAAAGTCATGAAGGGTTCGTGTTGGGCGGAGGACAAGAAAATACCTCAATCGGTCTAAAACTCGGATTTAAGCTTTACCGTGATGCTACTTTGACCGGTGTTGACCAATCACTTATAGTGCTTGCATGGAGTTGCACCTTAAATAAAAGTTGAAGTTTGAGTGGAGTAGAACAAACTTTGTTTTTGGACCAAGAGCCAGATCAACTTGGAACTAAGTCAAACCGAAGCTCAAACTTGGAATCTACTGCTGTTTTCAGAGTCCGAAAATTTTGCTAAGTCTGAGTAACTGAAAACTGAATTTTCAGTTTCATGAGCCCTACTTTGCAGCTCTCTATCTTCCAATATAATCCGAGTTAGACCAAAAACCTTTAAGCAAAGTTGTAGCCCTCATATAGCTCTACAACAATTGTTACTACCGTTTGTGCCTAAACTAAACGTATTAGGAGATATGAAAGGACAAAGATGGATGTTCAGTCGCGTTTTTGAGGTAGAATTGGGATTTGAAATTGATGAACAGCAATGTCCGACCAGACCATGCAGACCATGCAGACTGCTCGCGCCGCGTGGCTCTGCCACCTTGCCGTGCACATGTAAAGGACCGGCACTCTGCCTTCTCCACTCTCTCACTCTCCCTTTCCCTTCCCTCTCCTGCTCTCTCCAGGCCGCCATTGCCTTGCGCCGCTGCCGTGTGTGCTGCCGCTTGCGCTGGCTGCGACCGTGCAGCTGCTGCCCACTGCTGGCCGAGCCAGGGCCCCGGTGCGGCCACGGCCCTCCTTCTCAACCGGCCGGCCAAGCCTCAGCGCGCTCGTCCTCGCCTAGCTACGGTCACCGGTGCGCCGCTCTACGGTCGCCTTGGGCCACTGCCGCCGCAGCCACGCCGCTGCTAGCTCCAGCCGGCCGGGCTAAGGTCACAGCCGGCCACGGCAGAGCCGGACGACCCTTGTCCTGCCCTGTCTGGCCACGCAGCCGGCCGATGCAGCCGCTGGCCGGTGCCGACGGCCGCAGCTTCCCTCTGTCTCTCGTGTGTTCGGTTTGAAGAAGACGAGGGACGTTGTGCAGCAATTCAAGAAAAGCAAAGGGTCTAAGTGCAAATCCATGACTCATGTGAATAGTGCCATAAGGACTGGTTTGTAAGTAATTTGCTGAATCTTTGGAAATTCATAGTAATTCATAGGAAATTCGTAAAATAGCAAATGAGGACTTTTTGGAATCCTTGTGAAGTTTTCTATGCAGTAGATCTATAATCTTTCATGTTTTAGTTTAAAATATTTTGCGGTAAAAATAGATTTGTGCAGTAAGGTTGTAATGCTAGTTGAATTTCTTATTTTCCATAACTGCAGATCTAGGGTTCCAAATGAAGTGAAATTTTTGTGGCATGCTACTCATATGATAGTTGATGTGTGGTAAAAATTTCATGAGTATTGGATGAAGTATGAGTGAGTTATTGGTTTATCTTGCTCTCACATGATTTCTTGCTTTAGCAACTTGTCTTTTTCATAGAGGTTGCTATACATATTCAAATGGAGTGAAATTTGTACAGTAGACTAATGAGAGGATATGTGAGCCACTGTAATTTTTGTAGAATTTATTGTATACTTTTGGTATATGTTCATTAAGTCACCTTGTTATCTAAAATAAATTAAGAAATGCATTAAAAGAATTTATTTGGCCATGGACACTAGGTTTTCTGGTGTTGTTTAGTCATGTGTGACATGTTGGTAAAGTTGGTTTTGCCTAATTATGTGTTTGCAACATAAGTTAATATTTATTTTCTTGCAAATGTGGTTTATGGACAGATCTGGGAACCTAGCAAAGTTCTTCATGCTAATGTGCTTTGTTGTGAAACGTGTTTATACAAAAGTTGTAGATAATTCATGTATCTAGCTGCTGTTAAAATTTGGTGGCATTTGGCCTTGTAGTTTGTGAGTTATGCCTGTTTAAAGTTAGGTTTTAGAAATGGCTGCTCTCTGTCAATCGTGGACCAGTTTCTGTAAATGTACAATTTCGACCTACTTAACTTGTGAATCATGCTATGCTGGTTATAGATGAAATGTAGATAATTTCATAAGCTTTCCAAAATATCTTCTTGCAAGTCATTTGGATTTGTGTAACTCCAGTTATAGCTAAATCTTGTAGCTGCTGTTTGCATGTCCAGAAATTGGCAGATTCCAATTATAGTGTTTGCTTGTATATTGTTAAGTGTGACTTATGCCTTGAATGATGATTGAGTTAGAGCACCTGAGATCTTGGAAAACTTGTGTCATGCTTGGTGTTGTCGTCTTCTTTGCCATCTTAGCATGATAGGTTGTGTGATGTTAGTTAAATAGCTATTGGTGTCTATGTCTTGCATAATCTTGTGTTTGTCTTGAATGCTTATGTGATGCATCTTGTGTTACCATTCATCACATTCATGCACATGCATCTTGCATCTCATCTAGGTGCGCTAGATGAACCACATGAAGGATGTGATATTGGAGCCGAACCCGAAGATGGTGTTTGATGGATCTATCCTGAAGATGGAAGGACTAAGCAAGTGCTAGGACCTGAGATGTCACCAGGATGGTACAAGCTAGCCCGAATCGACTTATGTCGGATCCCTGCAGCCCGGAGCATTCTAAGTCTCCCATGTTTTTACAAATATCTTGAGTATCTTTTATTGTTGATGATGCATTAAGTATAGGAATTGGTTGGAACCAATTGTTGTATTATATCCTTACCTTGTCCAGATAAAATCCTATGAATCCTAATTAAGTGTAGGATCGAATGATGCTTAGCTATGCTTAGACCGGTAGAAGTCAGGTGATTTCCTGTCACCTGCGAGATGTAGGATGAGCTCTCGTCACGGTTGGCTATAATGGCTATCATGAAAAAGAACCATGTGTTAATAATGAAAAGGAGACCGGACGGGATGATGGTAGCAGACAACAAGGCATGGAGGTCTTGGGTGTGAATCTATCCCCGTTTGTGTCGTTTAAGGACCGATACGCTGTACGTCCTCATGTCATGTTGAACGCAGCCTAACACTTAGCTGGCCGGATAAGTCGTCCGACCGCTGAAGCCTAGTAGCTCGACTCGGGCCGGGGACGCGAGCGATGGCGATTCGGAGGTAGTAAGGATGTGCGGAGAGCCATTGGCATAAGTCCAAGGCGGGTTAGAGTCCCGAACAACCTTGGCGAGTGGTTCTCTGAGAATGTTGATCTGTTCGGACTCGCAACTCTTGAATCGTACCAAAGGTGACTCGTTTGCGACCACGAGGGGGAAGCGGGTGGTTTGTGTTTAGGAATACCCCTCCGGCTGGATAGGAATCGATTGAATCGCCGCGTCTCTCCGGATAGTGAGAACTTGACTGGGCAGCGGCAACGTAGATTCACTAAATTTAAAGATATGGTTAAATGATGATGATGATGATGATGATGACAATGAGAGCCCATGAAATACGATATGGTTATTATTGTTTGCAACTTAATCAAGTGATTGATTAGTCACAGGTGCTAATATAGATGGTAGGTAATGGCTAAAAGTCACCGCTAAGTACATGTGAATAATGCTAATGGTTACTCAAGCTTTTATGCAAAAAGGTTGTCCACCAGATCCACTAAATTAAGCTATGCATGATCCTTGGTGTCATTTGTTTTGGTTTCCGGCGGGTAAGTCCGGCTGAGTACATTTCAGTACTCGGGGTTTATCCCACCATGTTGCGGTGGAGTTCTCGGCCTGTTGAAGATGGTGGCTAAATAGATCTGATGGGCTCGGTGATTCTATAGTTAATTCTCATCTATATGCTTTTGTCGGATGATGTCACTTATGCTAGCAATATATTTGGAACTTATATTAATGTAATCATTTGAAAGCTATGTTGTTTTCACTAAGCGGTTTTGAAACCCAAACTTGTACTTTTATTTGTGAAACCTTATGTAATATTATTTCCGCTGCAACCCTGTGTACGTGATGTGTATTTGCTTAATCACGCGATCTTGGTTGTGATGTTGATTTACCGAGGTCTTTCGAGACACTCGGCGGACTACCGGGTTTATATAAGTGAAAGTATGTGTGTGTCAACGTGTTAGCGGGGACAACCGTACTTGATCTTGTATAAATTGGACGGTTCTGTCACACCATCAAGTGCCAGGGTGTGAAATTTTTCTGCGCAGCAACGTTTGGTTATCAGTTAGGTTATGTCAAGAGTAAATTTCGTAATCCAAATACTAGAAATTACATTGCAGAAATATACTTACTAAAGAGTCCAAAATAATCTGCTGCGCCTAAAGGTTTATCACAAAGATTTTCAAAAGGAAAATACGCACAACTATTTGCTCCAAGGGGAACCTGCAAAGTCATGTTTAAGTAATATATAAAAAATAATGTGTTTTAGTGGGTTGCTTTTGAATGCTTCTACCATACGTCCATACTGGTAATATCCGTCCCATAATTACTTCAACAGTTTGTAGGCTGGGTTCCTCATCTCCAATTAAAGACTGGAGCCTCTGTTTCAGAAGCGTACTGTAATGTTTTCCGACGAAATAGAAACCTTGCTCAGCCTGCTCAGATATCAGTTCAAAGATATCAGATAACTAGATAAGGGAAGGAGGGAAGAAACCAAGGACTACTAGTAGCTTGCAGAAGTTGGTAACATACAGAACCCATTTGGCGATAGTCCACCGCAGATCCAATGGGGTGCACGATGCACCTTTCCTGCAATGGTCCACAAAAGTAAACACCACCATACTAGCATATTAAACTTCGATTGACAATGCAGACAAAATTGATAAATGTGAAACCACTCATACTTTAAAGGTGTCAATAAATGGCAAGAAAAGGTCCCGTTGTAAGCCACCTTCATAAAGCTTATCTGGAGCGCGGTTAGAAGTCGAAACAAGAATCTGAGCACAAGACATGTAAATAAATCCATGTCAAAAGTTGGTGTATTGATAGATAACCTGAGTAATTAGTCCCCATAAGAAAAGGGAAGAAAATAGTAGCCACATACAACGCCTTTGCTGAACAATTGTCTAAACAGCCGGTTCAGAATCATAGCATCAGCAACATCAGTTACCTGTGCAGTATAGTTGGGCTTGTTACAAACATATATATTGGGACATTGTTGGAATATATAACCTCAGAAAAGTGTACCATAAACTCTGTCAGTAGTTAGCCTAGTGTTCATGTTTTCCAGTTACCTACTATAGCTATTTACTATTCACTGTCATGTAATTTTTCAGGTTCCTTGGCAACCAAGTTGATCATGGTGCCTTGGCAACCAAGTAGGAATCATAGCATCTGCTTTATGCAGTTAGAATATGCTAAGGAGTAGGTACACCACTTGCTTATATATGCAGTGGTTAGCATCTTTTGTATTTAAGTTGTTATTGCAATTCAATACAATCCAAGCGGCCTGCTGGCCAAGCTGCCCTCTGGCAGCCCCAATTCGCCAACAATTGGTACCAGAGCTCCAGGTTGAGAGAAAGGGAAAGGCATGGCCACCTCCGCAGAGAGAGTAGCAGCCGCCGCCGCCGCCGCCGCCGCTGTTGAGTAAGCGTAAGCGCGTCTGCGCTTCGTCAGCGCAGAGGCAGCAGCATAGCGCAGCAGCCGTAGGTAGCAAAGCTTCCTCGGCAGCGCCACGGCCGCGGCTCACGTCGAGAGTTGGTGGAGGAGGATCCGCCGCGATCGCCGCCGCTTGCTCCGCGGAGGAGCCCGGGCTTGGAGCAGCAGCGACGCGGTCGCCCGATCGGGATCAGGATCGCCGCCGCGGACGGGCCAGGGGCCGCTCGCCGGTGATCCAGACCGTGTACAAGGATTTTGGCTCGAGCTCCACCCGGCCGATGCTCACCAAGTCAAATTACCATGAGTGGGCCTCGATCATGAAGCTGAAGCTCCAGGTGCGGCAACTCTGGGACACGATTGAGTACCAGGACCTGCCGTACCATGAGGACAGGCGCACGGTGGAGGCGATCATCGCTGCCGTGCCGCAGGAGATGCAGATGCCACTGTCCGAGAAGGGATCGGCCAAGGAGGCCTGGGACTCCATAGCCGCCACGCGGATCGGCGTCGATCTGGTGCGCCGCGCCACGCTCCAGTGACTCCACAGCGACTGGGAGAAGCTCGCCTTCCGTCCGGGTGAGCAGATCGAGGACTTCACCCTTCGCTTGATGGCCCTGAAGCAGCAGCTTCTTCTCCACGGCGATAACGACATCGATGAAGAGCGCGCGGTGGAGAGGCTCCTGCGCGTCGTGCCGCCGAAGTACGCCCAGCTCCGGATCACCATCGAGATGCTTCTCGACTTCCAGGACCTCACCATTGAGGAGGTGTCTGGGTGTTTGAAGACGGTGGACGACATGGAGGCGCTGCCCGCGGAACCGGCCGCCATCGGTGGTCTGCTGATAAGGGAGCAAAGCGATGGCGAGAAGAGAGGAGGAGGCTGCCGCTTCGCGTTAGGGGCAAGGAACCGCGACGTCGTCCACGCGGCGGCAAGAAGAAGTAGCAGGAAGGGCAATAGCGGCGGAGGAGGAGAGAGGCGGTGGCGACGATCGCGGGCGGACGATTTACACACCTACCTCAACTGTGGTGATCGCGCCCTCTGGCGCGAATCGCCGCCACCGGCTTGTGGTGGTGGTGACCGCGCGGCGCGGCGGTGGCAAACCAACGCGGAGGAGGCAACCGCGTTGGAGGTGATCGAGGTGCACGGCGCGGTGGTGGGCGTGGCGGTGCTGCGCACGTCGCAGAGGCGGAGGACGATGATGGTGCTCTGTTCCTCGCCCATGGCTTCCTCAAGCTCGATGAGAAGGCTGAAGCCGTCTGCTCCAAGGCCACGGCTTCCCTCGACATCAACGAGCCGCCCGCGCGCGTGTCTTCCTCAACACCAGCGCCAACGAGGAGGCGCTCGACGGCTGGTACCTCGACAGCGGGGCTACACATCACATGACCGACCGCCGGGAGCTCTTCGCCGAGCTCGACACCACGGTGCGCGGCACGGTGCGTTTCAGCGACTCGTCTCGAGTGGAGATCAAGGGGACCGGCTCCATCGTCTTCCAGGCCAAGAACGGGGTGCAGCGCGTCCTCCATGGCATCTTCTACATTCCAGCGCTCCAGAACTCGATTATGAGTTTGGGGCAGCTCGACGAAGGAGGCTCCAGGGTGGAGATTGAACATGGAGTGCTCCGTATCTGGGACCAGCGTGGTCATCTTCTCGCCAAGGTACATCGCGGGCCCAGTCGGCTGTACATCCTGCACTTGGAGGCCACACAGCCGGTGCGTCTTGCTGCTAGGAAGGAGGACGAGTCATGGAGGTGGCATGAGCGCTACGGGCATCTTAGCTTCGAGGCGCTGCACCAGCTCGGCAAGTAGGAGATGGTGAGGGGGATGCCGGTGATCAAGCATGCAGAGCAAGTCTGCGACACCTGCGTCACCACCAAGCTCCGCCGCAAGCCGTTTCCGCAGCAGGCGCAGTACCGCGCGCAGGCGCCCTTGGACCTCGTCCACGGCGACTTGTGCGGGTCGGTGACACCGGCGACGCCAGGAGGGCGCCGCTACTTCTTGCTGATGGTGGACGACGCCACCCCCTTCATGTGGGCGGTGCTTCTGTCGACCAAGGATGTTGCTGCGGATGCCGTGAAGCGGGTGAAGGCCGAAGCAGAGAAGGAGACCGGCCGTGAGCTCAAGGTGCTGCGGACCGACAATGGAGGAGAGTTCACCGTCGGCGAGCTGGCGCAGTACTTCGCCGCCGAAGGAGTCAAGCGGCACTACTCTGCACCACACTCACCGCAGCAGAACGGTGTGGTGGAGCGGCGCAATCAGACGGTCGTGGCGACCGCACGCGCGCTCCTGAAGCAGAGGTCAATGCCGGCCAAATTCTGGGGGGAGGCGGTGATGACGGCGGTGCATCTGCTCAACCGCGCACCGACGAGAAGCTTGCAAGGCAAGACCCCCTATGAGGCCTGGCACGGACGAGCGCCGGTGGTGAGCTATCTGCGTACATTCGGCTGCGTCGCCTACACAAGGGAGCTCGGGCAGCTGCGCAAGCTCGACAACCGCGGCTAGGGCTGGGTCTTCATCGGCTATGCCGAGGGCGCCAAGGCCTACCGGGTCCTCGATCTGGCGACAGGACGCGTCAAGGTGAGCCGCGACGTGGTGTTTGATGAAGGGCGCGGCTGGGATTGGTCCAATTCGGCCGCCGGGACATCTGCTTCCGCCTCCAGCGACTTCGACATCGAGTTCTGGGGAGTCGACGCAGACGGAGCTCTGCCGCGCACGCCGTCACTTGCTCTAGGGGAGCACGATCCACCGGCCTCCTCGCTTCTGGCGCCAGCGGAGACCGAAAGCAAAGCGAACCAGTTGAGTTCCGTCACCGCCACCGGGGAGCGGCGACGCGATCGCTTTGACGCTTCCCTACGCGGCGGCGATTGCGGTACGTACCATGCCCAACATCGTCGGGGACGCGCCCACACCGCCGCCGGCTTCACGTCTCTTCGCCGAGCTTCACCTCACGCACGCCGGCGAGCCGGCCAACTTCGCGGAGGCTGAAGGCGATCCTGCCTGGCAGGCCGCCATGGAGCAGGAGATCAAGGCGGTTGAGCAGAACCGTACATGGGAGCTTGTGGAGCTTCCTCCCGGTCACCGGCCCATCACTCTAAAGTGGGTCTACAAGCTCAAGAAGGACGAGCGGGCGCGGTGACTAAGTACAAGGCGCGCTTGGTGGCGCGGGGTTTCATCCAGTAGGAAGGGATCGACTTCGACGACACGTTTGCTCCCGTGGCGCGCATGGAATCCGTCTGAGTCCTCCTCGCGCTGGCGGCCCAAGAAGGATGGCGTGCCCACCACATGGACGTCAAATCGGCCTTCCTCAACGGCGACCTCAAGGAGGAGGTGTACGTGAAGCAGCCGCCTGGCTTCACCGTTGCCGGGAAGGAGAAGATGGTGTACCGTCTGCGCAAGGCTTTGTATGGCCTACAGCAGGCTCCGCGAGCTTGGAACACCAAGCTGGACGCCACCCTCAAGGAGATGGGTTTCCAGCAAAGCGACCATGAAGCTGCGATGTACAGGCGAGGAGCTGCTGCTGATCGGCATCTATGTTGACGACTTGATCATCACCGGTGCCAGCGCTCAAGTCATAGAAGGTTTCAAGGCTCAGATGAAGAAGGTTTTCGACATGAGCGACCTCGGCCTCCTGTCCTTCTACCTGGGGGTCGAAGTACACCAAGATTCAGCTGGGATCACTCTGAGGCAAACCCATTATGCCAAGAGGATCCTTGAGCTAGGAGGTATGGATGCCTGCAACCCCGCCCCATACACCAATGGAGGAGCGGTGAGGTTGAGTAGAGCAGAGAGCACGCAGCTGCAGCAGTTGATCCTACCCAACACTGAGAAGATTGGTGGGCAGCCTGCGCTACTTGGTCCACACAAGACCTGACTTAGCCTTCTCAGTAGGCTTTGTTAGTCGATTCATGGAGAGGCCGACTGCAGAGCACCAAGCTGCCATCAAGCGCATCCTGAGATATGTGGCTGGTACTCTGGAGTTTGGCCTGCACTACACTAAGGCTCCAGGGAGAGCAAGGTTTGTTGGGTACTACGACAGTGACTTGGCTGGGGATATTGACACCAGCAAGAGCACTAGTGGCACTCTGTTTTTCCGGGAAGCAATCTTGTGTCTTTGGCGGTCAACAAGAAGAAGGAAGGTGGTGGCTCTATCTAGTTGTGAAGCTGAGTACATTGCCCTACCACAGCTGCAACACAAGCTATTTGGCTATCCAGGCTGCTGGCAGACCTCCTTGGATGGAATGTGGAAGTGGTCAAACTGAAGGTTGATAGCAAGTCTGCACTTGCTTTAGCCAAGAATCCAGTCTTTCATGAGCGCAGTAAGCACATCAGAATCAAGTATCACTTCATCAGAAACTGTTTGGAAGATGGAAGTATCAGGGCTGATCACATATCCACCACTGATCAGCTGGCTGGCATTCTAACCAAGTCTCTTGGAAGATCAAAATTTGAAGAGATGAGGGGAAGAATTGGGCTCAAGCACATCACTTCCAAGGACCACAAGGCTAAAGGGGAGAATTGTCAGTAGTTAGCCTAGTGTTCATGTTTTCCAGTTACCTACTATAGCTATTTACTATTCACTGTCATGTAATTTTTCAGATTCCTTGACAACCAAGTTGATCATGGTGCCTTGGCAACCAAGTAGGAATCATAGCATCTGCTTTATGCAGTTAGAATATGCTAAGAAGTAGGTACACCACTTGCTTATATATGCAATGGTTAGCATCTTTTGTATCTAAGTTGTTATTGCAATTCAATACAATCCAAGCGGCATGCTGGCCAAGCTGCCCTCTGGCAGCCCCAATTCGCCAACAAACTCATCAAGACATAATATGATGGCCTCATCTGAAATCTCAGATGCTACAACATCAAGGGGATCTGAAACACCTTTATGCATCTGCATATAGACAAGTGTCATGACAATGATTATCATATCTTCCTGAAGCTTGGAGCAGGGCACTTATGAAGGCAGTTTGCACATATAAACAAATTACCTGAAGACGACTATGTACGTTCAACATGAAATCATGAAAGTGAATACGTTTTTTTCTCCAGTTAGATGGCCTGCCAAGACACAATAATATCAGTTATCTAAAGTGAAGAATGCGTGCAAATACCAACCTTTTGTCTGAATATTATTGTAAAAAGCCATGAGATTTGTATGCAAACTCTGTCGTTTCCAGATTATTGGGAACAAAACTATCTTGCTGAATGTATAAAATGACAAGAAAGATATGCCAGCATTTCATTCTTTCCATCTAGTTTATCCATCAACAAGAGAAATATGACAGGATATCTGTTGGCCACAGGCACTACAGATTCCATCTAAAAAATTAGAGAACTGCAAAGGCATCAGGCACAAATTTTGTCTATTTGCTTATCTTTCATCTAAGTCATTTATCCTGGGAGTCCATAAATTGGAATAGCCCCTGCATCGCGTAAATTTCGTGATATGTTCTACAGAATGTGCTGGGATATAATCAGGGAAGATTTATAAACTTCACAATCAATCCCAAAATCAGAAAGCCTAAAAAAATTCCATTAATGATCCAGTCATTATCATAGTGACTAAGATGTATAGTCACATTGAATGATTTCATGCCAATTTCTTAACCTAGTTTTGCACTTAGGTTCTAAAAAAGCTTTTAACCAACAGATTGCAGAAGGTTATTCCTGGTACAGGCCATCAATCTAGCTTCAGTAAACCAGAACAATTCATTTTCAAGAAATGGCAAGGGAATTTCTTAAGTAAAAGTGTGGTGAATTCTGCAATGAGCAAGGATCATCACTAGAGTGCCTAAGAATGCAACTCATGGTGACTATTTCTGATTTCAAGTCTATTTCTTCTATATGGCTTGTGCTACCTATAATGAAATAAATCGAGGTATAGTTTATATGTGAACAAAAATATTTGATATATATCTGTATGAACGATTTTGTGGCTATAGACCAATTATCTAACATGTTTCTCCTAAGCAGATAAAAATCAAAGTTTAGCACTGAGAATTCTCAAATATGGGTACTTGCTCTAACTTTGTGTATGTAGCACCCAGTGGCATGAAATTACATTACAGGTAAAACTACAATTACCGTACTGCTAAATTCCTAAAGCTATTCATAGATAAAAATGTCAATGTGCCAAGTTTTCAGAGTACAGGTCAACTATCTGTCTAGAAAATTTCAATGTTAGGTTATAGTATCAGAGCAACCAGTTAAAATTAGATTAATAAAAAATGATGCCATTTTACTTCTGCTAGCCAGGTACCTTCTTCTCATTCACATGCCGGTCTTCAAAATTTTTGACAACAATGATGTGTATTATACTAATGCATTCGTTATCTTTGCAATGTGTTCTGTTAATTCACAATTGCACATGAACTAAAAAGAATGAAAAAGAAAGAATATTGAGCCTTAGAATGTGAATAGTTGCCATGACAGTTGTGATAGAATCACTTATATAGACTGATGTACCAGAAGAACAATTAATATATTCACAAACTACTGGTAATGGACTAGGATTACTGAGGAAGTTCTAGTGGGATTCAAGCAGTATTTACACAATGACGATCCATAACATGGTTACCATAAAGTGGTGTAACAGAGATCTTATCCTAGAAGCTAGAACTGATAGACTTACAGCTGTTCATAGAACAAGTCCATAAGCATCGTCTTCCCTGTACCGACACCACCATAGAGGTAAAGCCCCTTAACTGGAGCATAGGTAGAAGGCTGAGTAATGAGACGGGACCATAGCCATCGACTCCTTCAATATCAAAGACTAAGGTTAAGATAATGCACTATACACAGAAGATGACACCTCAGTGTACTAAAACTGCTCTTACCGTCCTGATTTCTCAGATGACTTACATCTGTCCAGCTGGCAGTCTTCTTCATTCTCAATCAACTCCTCATAGAGCCTTTGTAATTGTTGAATTGTATCAACCTGTATGAGCCAGTAAAGAGGTGGGAAAACTTTTTACCACAGCATTGATGGAAGCTATCCAAGAAATGAACCTTTGGTCAAGGACCAGAACAACACCTGAAAGCTCGCCATCTACTAGCTCTCCTGATGCTATTCTCCTCTCTGTTAGTCGTTGAACTCTCACTCTCGGTAGTAGCAGAATTCTTACTCTCATCGAGAGAGGATGACACTAGGAGTTGGGACAATTTTCTGGTTTATTTCTCACACAAACTCACACAAATGTCATGCCAACCTGAGGGGTTGGGGATACATATTTATAAGCTGCTAGCCAGCCAAGCATATGCCAAGATTCTAGTCTAAGATGCTAGTCTAAGATGCTAATATGCTGTCCTAAGATGCTGTCCTCTCAGTCAAGCAGTCAAGATGTTGCTGCTGTCCTCTCAGTCAAGCAGTATGCTGTTGCAGCCAGCCCCACAAGGACTGTCAACAGAGACTTATCCATCATTCTCCCCCTAAGTCTTGTGCGTCGTCTTGTGGAAAAGTTGAACCATCCCGGTCCTGGAACAGAGCTCAAGGAACTTGATCCTCTCAAGGGGCTTGGTGAGCAGGTCCACAAGCTGGTCCTTGGTATTGATGTAGCTCGCCTTGATGCTCCCGTCCTCCAAATAGCCTCGGATGAAGTGGTACCTCACCCGGATGTGCTTACTCCGTTCATGGAAAACGGGGTTCTTTGCCAGGGCCAGAGCGGACTTGCTGTCCACCCTGAGCTCCACCGCTCTAGTGTCTCTGCCGAGGAGATCACCAAGCAGTCGAGCGAGCCAGAGCGCCTGAGTCGAAGCGGTGGAGGCCACTATGTACTAGGCCTCGCAGCTGGACAGGGCCACCACCTGTTGTTTGACCGACTGCCAGCTAACGAGGCACTTGCCGAGGAAGAAGAGGATCCCGCTCGTGCTCTTGCTGGTGTCGATGTCGCCGGCGTGGTCGCTGTCGCTGTACCCAACGAAGTGTGCCTCCCCAGGGCACCTCGGGTAGTAGAGGCCGTGGTCGAGAGTCCCCACAACGTAGCGGATGATCCTCTTCATAGCTTGCTGGTGCTCCGTCGTCGGTCGCTGCATGAACCGACTAACGTAGCCGACGGAGAATGCCAAGTCCGGCCGTGTGTGGGCGAGGTAGCGAAGGCTCCCCACAAGACGCCGGTACAGCGTAGCATCCACCTCCTCCGTCGTGCTGTCGCGGCTCAACTTCAGCCTCTCCTCCATCGGAGTGAGAGCTGGGTTGCAGTCGGTGAGCCCAGCTAGCTCAACGACGCGCTTGGCATAGGCGGTCTGTCGAAGCGTGATCCTAGAGTCATCCTGTTGCACCTCGATTCCCAGGTAGAAGGAGAGAGGCCCCAGGTCACTCATCTAGAAGGTGGCCTTCATCTCTTCCTTGAATGCCGCCACCTCCGCATCCTTGGTGCCGGTGATCACCAAGTCGTCGACGTAGACATCCACCAGCAGGACATTTCCTCCACTGCCCCGTCGATAAATGGCCGCCTCGTGCGGGCTTTGCTCGAAGCCCATCCCCTTTAGCGTGGAATCCAGCTTGGCATTCCACGCCCTCGGTGCCTGCCACAAGCCATAGAGGGCCTTGCGCAGGCGGAGCACCTGCCCTCCTTGCCGGGGATTGCAAATCCCGGCGGCTGGTGCACGTAGACCTCCTCCTTCAAGTCGCCGTTAAGGAACGCCGACTTGACGTCCATGTGATGAACACGCCAGCCCTCCTGGGCAGCTAGCGCAAGGAGGAGTCGCACGGACTCCATCCGTGCCACGGGAGCAAATGCGTCATCGAAGTCGACCCCCTCCTGCTGCACGAAGCCTCGTGCCACCAAGCGAGCCTTGTGCTTGACGATGGCACCGGCTTCATCCCTCTTCAGCTTGTACACCCACTTAAGGGTGATCGCGTGGTGACCACGAGGAAGGTCAGCAAGCTCCCAGGTGCGGTTCTTCTCAACCGCATCCATCTCCAACTGCATCGCGGCGCGCCATGCCGCGTGTCTCTCGGCCTCTGCAAACGACCAAGGTTCGCCGTCGTCACACGCAAGGTGCAACTGCACCTCCAGGTCGTGAGGCACCAGTCCCGGCACCGGCTGGTCGCCGAGAAGGTTCTCCAGCGTACGGTACCGCAACGGCTCGCCGTCGTGGTACGCGTCGACGCGCTCCTCATCGTGAGAGAGCGGAGTAGCGAGCTCAACCGGGCCGTGCTCGACACGAGCTGGTGGTGGGGTAGACGTGCCCAGAGTGGTGCCTATCGATGCTAAAGTGCGTGGCGTTGCCAGCTGTGGTGGAGCCAGCGAAGAACTCATCGCAGCCGAGGTCCTGGCTAGAGAGCGTGGTGCTGTCGGAGTAGCAGACGCCGGGGTCGGTGGAGGCTCGGGGACTGGGATAGACGCGCTCACCGAAGAAGAGCTGCCTACTCCCCCAGCTCCCTCGGAGTGGACGTACTCGACAGTGAAGTCGTCGTACGTCGGAGCCGAGCCGTCGTCCACCGCCTTGTCCCACGCCCATCCTCGCCCTTCTTCGAACACAACGTCGCGCGCCGTGCGCACACGCTGTCTTTGGGTCGAGGATGCGGTAGGCCTTCGAGCCCTCCGCGTAGCCGATGAACACTCCCGGAGTGCTCCTGTCGTCGAGCTTGCTGATGTGGCCAAGCTCCTTGGCGAACACGAGGCAACCGAAGACCCACAAGTGGGAGACCGCCGGCTTGCGCCCATGCCAAGCCTCGTACGGCGTCCTGCCATCGAGCGCCTTGGTAGGCGAGCGGTTGAGGATGTAGACGGCCGTCACCACCGCCTCTCCCTAGAAGACAACCGGCATCCCCCTCTGCTTGAGGAGGGCCCGAGCCATCCCCACAACCGTCTGGTTGCGTCGCTCGACGACGCCGTTCTGTTGTGGGCTGTACGGCGCGGAGTAGTGGCGCTGAATGCCCTCGTCAGCGCAGTACGATGCGAATTTAGCCGCCGTGAATTCACCGCCGTTGTCGGCGCATAGCATGCACAGCTTGCGGCCGCACTCCGCCTCCGCAGCCTCTCCCTTGCTGCCGAGGACCATCACCCACATGTAGCGGGACAGGTCGTCGACGAGCAGCAGGAAGTAGCATCGTCCTCCCAGTGTGGCCGGTGTCACCAGGCCACACAAGTCCCCATGCACAAGCTCGAGCCTCTCCTTGGCTCGAAAGCTCGCCCGCTAGGGAAAGGGGAGTCGCCTCTGCTTCGTCAACACGCAGACATCGCAGAGCTGCTCCACATGGTCGAGGCACGGTAGGTCTCGCACCATCTCCGTGGCACTAAGCCGCTTCAGGGCCTCAAAGTGAAGGTGCCCGAAACGCTCGTGCCACTACCACGCCTCGTCGTCCCGACGAGCAGCGAGATATTGGGGTTGTGCCACCTGCACATTAAGGACGTAGAGTCGATTTGCGCTTCTGGATACCTTGGCAAGAAGGCGACGACGACGATCTCAAATCCTCATGACTCCGTCCTCAACCACCACGCGCGAACCATTCTCATCTAGCTGTCCCAAGCTGATGATGGAGTTCCTCAACGCGGGGATGTAGTAGACTCCGGTGAGCAGCCTGTGCTCACCAGACACGGCGGTGAAGATGACGGAGCGGACGCCCTTGATCTCCATGCCGGAGGCATCCCCAAACTTGACGGAGCCTCGGACGCTAGAGTCAAGCTCGGTGAAGAACTCCCGTCGACCGGTCATGTGATGGGTGGCGCCGGTGTCGAGGCACCACCCGTCAGTCTTGTTGTTGCCAGAGCTGTCGCCGAGGAGGGCGTGTGCTTTTGGCTCGTCAAGGTGGAGGAGAGTCGCTGCGGCCGGTGCCGCTAGAGGTAGCTCGATGCTTGCATGTGCCATGAACAGAGCCGGCTCCTCCTCCTCCGCCTGTGCGACGTGGGCCTGGCCGCGTCGTGGCTGTCGGCAGTCCTTGGCCCAATGGCCAAGCTAGCCGCAGTTGCGGTAGACGTCGTCTCGTGCCGGCTTGTGCCTGCCGGCGGCGCCGCCCTAGGCGCCTCCATGGGCATCACCCTCGGCACGTCCTCGCACCCCGGCCTGGGTGTCTCTGCGCGCCTTGCGTGGCTTGCCACGCTTGCGACCACCTGTCGCAGAAGAGGGTTCCCCTTCTTCTGGTCATCTTGGCTGGCAAGCCACTGCTCCCGAGTGAGAAGGAGCTTCCCGCCAGTGGTGATAGGCCCTGAGAGAGACTGTGGCTCATCGCTATCGACGACCTTGAGGCGACCTATCGCCTCCTCGATCGACATCGTGGAGAGATCCAGCAGGGACTCGATCGAGCGAGCCATCTGCTTGTACTTCTCAGGGACGCAGCGAAATTGCTTTTCGGATGACTCTCTCCTCGCCGTAGGTGTCATCGCCGAACTCGCACCATCTTCTCGCAGCTGTGAGTGTTGAGACGGAGAGCAAAGTCATCAACGCCCTCACCTAGCTTGAAGGCCGGTGTTCCCACTCCTTGCGAAGTGCCTGCAGTGTGGACTTTTGGCGCGATCGCCGCCTGGCGCGTGCGTGCGCGGCGATGGCGTCCCAAGCCTCCTTGGCGATCCGCTTGTTGGTAAGCGAAGCGCATCTCGGCGGGCTCGCAGCGATGAGGGCATCCAGCGCCCGTCGATCTAGGTCGTAGTTGACGTCGCCGTACCGGACTGCCTCCCACATGTGCAGCACCTGGAGCTTTACCCTCATCACCGTAGCCCACTCGACGTAGTTGGTCTTGGTAAGGGTAGGCCACCCACCGCCGGGACCGACGTCCCTGACAACAGCCTGGAACCCGTGGTAACCACGGTACCGATCCGGGGAGAGAGCCACGCTGCCTGTGAAGGCCGTGCTCTCTATCGACCCGTCGGTAGCGATCCGGGGAGAGAGCCACGTTTCCTGTGAAGGCCGCGCTCTCCATCGACCCGTCCGCCACCGTTGCCGTGTGCGCCTCCTCCAGGAGCGCCGCCGCCGTGCGCGCCTTCACCATGAGTTTGTGAGACCCTAGAGTCTTCATAAACAGCCGCCGCCCCTCCATTAGGGTTTGGGTTTTGCTTAGATTATTCTGTCAAGAAACAGTTTCGCCGTTCTTCGGTTTGTGAGACCCCA